AAAGGGGGAACTGATTACAAGGATCTACATGTGACCTCCTCCCTGGGGGACGGGCAACAGAGAAGTGGGTGAAGGGAGACGTCAGACAGTGCAAGATACGACAAAATAATAATTTGTAAATTATCAAGGGTTCACGAGGGAGGGGGGGAGCAGGAAGGGAGGGGAAATAAGAGGAGCTGAAGCCAGGGGCTTACGTGGAGAGCAAATGTTTTGAGAGTAATGAAGGCAATGAATGTGCAAATGTGCTTTATATGGTTGATGTATGTATGGATTGTGAGATAGTTTATTGTGCCAGCCTGGCCGATAAACATAAGTGGGATTAACTGAAGAACTGAGAGATAGATGGCTCGGTGAGCCTCGCCTTTCTTGTCTCTCGCTCTTTGCTCATCAGACCAGTGTGCAGCTGCCTTGCTTGTTCTGTGCCTCAATTTACAGGCTATACTACCTGTAGGACGCCTAGTCTGTGAACTGTGTCACTACTATAAGTTGAGGTCCCTTTCAGAAATCTCTGGAGCTGGGGACTGGAGGTTGGTGACCTGCCTTGTGATTGGCTGCTGTGCTGAGATAGCCTAACTCTCTATCTATATAGAGGAAGACCTGGCAGCAGACTAGACTTTAAGGACTGCTAGTGTCTCAAAACTCTCTCACGGGAGTGAGCTGCACTGAGCCATTTGTACTGCTTTATAATTTAACTGTTCATTTCTTGTGTTATATATCTAGTTATCTTTATAAATAAAAGAATCCATACATCATAAGAATTGTATGAGCCCCCTAACAATCATATTTGTACATGTTTCCATCATCATTTTCAAAACATTTTCTTTCTACTTGAGTCCTTGGTATCAGTTTTTTCCCTTCCTTCCAACCACTGTGACCCCTTGATAAATTATAGTTTATCTTATACCATCTGCTGTCTCTCTTCACCCACAATTCTGTTGTTCATCCCCATGGAGAGGGTGGTGGTAGTTATACATCATTGTGATCAGTTCTCCCTTCCTCCCCCCACCTTCCCTCTACCCTCATGGTGTCACTATTCCCACTATTGTCCTGAATTCCATGCATTGTGAGCTCTATCTGTACCAGTGTACATGCTCCAGTCTAGCCGGATTTGTAAGGTAGAACTAGTTTCATGATAATGGGCAGGAGGAAGCATTAAAGAACTAGAGGAATGTTGGGTGTTTCACTGGTGGTATACTGCACCTTGGCTGGCTCGTCCCTTCCTGTGATCCTTTTGTGAGGGAATGTCCAATTGCCTACAAATGGGCTTTGGGTCTCCACTCCAACCCCAATTTACATCAATAAGATTGTTTGTTTGGGGGTCTTCTGATGCCTGATCCTGTTGACACCTCATGATCACACAGGCTGGTGTGCTTCTTCCATGTGGGCTTTGTTGTTTCCCTGCTAGATAGCTATTTTAACTTCAAGCTTTTAAGACCTCAGACACTTTATCTTCTAATAGCCGGACACCATCAGCTTTCTTCACCACATTTGCTTATGCACCCAATTTGACTTGAGTGATGTGTCGGGAACGTGAGCACAAGATGGGCCTAATGAGGATGCTGGATGTATGTGTATATACATAAATACGAAAAGGGCAAATCCATAAAGAAATGCACAGAAAAAGTCAAGTAACAAACAGTTAATACCTCAAAAACAGTAATTGAGTCAATTCCAACTCATCGTGACCCTATAGGACCCTTGTGAGTTTCCAAAACTCTTTATGAGAGCAGAAAGTTTCGTCTTTCTCCCTCAGAGTAGCGGGTGGTTTCGATCTGCTAACCTTACAGTTCACTACAAGAGGAGAAAATGCCATTCAAGTAACATTGCTCTTTATACCTACCCTCGGGTGGGAAAAACTAAACCCAGAAAGATCTATCACTGCTGGGGATGTAGGAAAGGGGTGAAGTCACTGGTGCAGTGCAGGTATGTGTCAATCAACGTCCACAATACATTCTGAAATTGTACATCACATGATTTAGACATTATAGGAACACCTGTGGCCAGGGGTACAGAGTTCCCAGCCACACACTTTTGCCACCTTTTTTGCTAAGCAAACTGCAGGGAAGGCCAGTTCACCCATGAGTACCTTCCCAGAGAAAGGCTGGTGCAGGTGAAGGGGCGGAGAGGCTAGAGACAAGGCTGAGGCTCCTAGGTACATACCCTTCCACTGGCGCTTTATGGGACCACACCTGGCAAAAATATTAGAACTGCTGAGTCGTGGGAGCAGAGGGGACCAAGACTGGGAATCTCGGTTGAGTCTCAAATGCCACAAACTAGGCCCCCCTGGGCTGTGTGCAGTGGCTGGGCAGAACTGGGCTTCCTAGCTCAAGACAAAGGTTTGGCAGTCTGGCACTCGAAGCATCATCTGGGCGCAGATATGCAGGCAAATGCATCTTAAGACCTGCACTCTGAGAAAGCAATCTGCAACATCCCTAATAATCCTTCAATTTAGGAACATCCCACAAAAATAAATCTGCCAGTACATTAAGATTTCTTTCAGTGAATCTTTATTGCAAGTTTACACAGCAGCAAAAATGAAAACTTAAAAGTTCAAAAAACTTCAGAAGAGATCATGAGAAATCAAGACCAGCTCAAGATCAATCAGCTCCTAAGAGGTAAAGGTCAGATATTCCTCCACTCTCCAACCTTTTTTTTAAAACCAATTCTAACACAAGCCCTCACACGCAGCCCTCTCTTCTCTCCTGGGTTTGATAGTCTGCTGCAATGGTCACACAGCCTTCACAGAGAGTAAGAAATAACAAGATACAACTCAGGATGAAGAGCAACACCCAGCATCAGGTTCAGACAGCCAGGAAACCTCCCCTGAGAGAGCATTTCCCACCCTTCTGCAGTGCAGACACATTCTCTCAGCTGCTCTTAGCCAGCAAGAAAGTGGGCCCTTTTCTTTTCCATGCATGCCCGTTGTTGCTCTCAGGGCACGCTCCCCTTGCCGCTGGTCATTCCACTGCCAACTGATCCAGCTCATGGCCAATACAGCTACTTTTGTTCAGCTCTCTGAGCTGCTTTCCAAGCAGTAGGTTTCTGCTGTCACTACTGACTCTGTTGCTGGGCCTGTCAGTCGGCTCACGGCCTCCGGTGTTGGACCATGCCCTGTACTTCGGCTCTTTCAGGAGGCTCCTCACCTCTCTCATCTCTTGCCTTTTCTCCTTTGGCTGTTCTTTCTGCCCGCAAACCTCTGTGGAGTTGGCTGCATTCTCTTGAAATCCCTGCAAAAGGCATAAAATAAACCAATTATTGAGTCAGATACAGAGGATCATACTCTGAGATAAAAACCAGGGCAAAGGACATTGGAGGGGAAATCACTCCAGTTATTTTTGCAAACAAACACATGAAACAACTCTTCTCACCATATAAAGCATAAAACAGAAACGAATACACTATTGGTAAAACTGTAAGTATTAAAAGTAGCAGCACTGGCTCCCTTGTAGAGAAACAGATAGGTATACCATAAAGAACAACAAACCCAGAAACTAGAACAATGTATGAAAATTTAAAATTACTTGACAAAGCAACCTACCACCTTCATCTGTTCACTGCACTATTTGTCCTACAAACTTAACGGGATAACCATCTAAAGGCTTATATGCAAGAATGCCTGCCCGCAGTCCTTCCTATAAGATGACATAAAAGGACCTAAATATCCACTCGTAACAAAAGGAGAGAGTAAGTTATATGTCTACAAAATAAAACAATGAACATAAAAAAAAACACACAAAAAACCCAGGGGCTATTTGCCGCATCTACTATGAGAATGAAAACCATTCACAGCAACCAGACTGTCCATATTCCAGAGAATGTTGACATTTCCCCGAAGGGGCACAAGGTCATGGTGAAGGGCTCGAGAGGAACCCTGCGGAGGGACTTCAATCACATCAACATAGAGCTCAGTCTCCTTGGAAAGAAGAGGCGGCTTAGGGTTGAGAAATGGTGGGGAAATAGAAAGGAGCTGGCTTCCGTCTGCACTATCCGTAGTCACGTACAGAACATGGTCAAGGGTGTGACACCGGGCTTCCGATAAGAGATGAGGTCTGTGTGTGCCCACTTCCCATCAACGTGGTTACTCAGAAGGGGCCTCTTGCTGTTGAAATCGTTAACTTCTTGGGTGAAAAATACATCCAGAGGGTTCACATGAGGACAGGTGTTGCTTGTTCCGTTTCTCAAGCCCAGGAAGATGAGTTAGTTCCTGAAGGGAATTCAGCTGCTTTAATCCAGCAAGCCACAACAGTTAAAAACAAGGATATCTGAAGTCTTTGGATGTATCTGTTTCTGAAAAAGGAACAGTTCAGCAGGCTGATGAGTAAGAGCTAAGAGGTGTCCAGTCACAGTCTAGATGATTTCCTTTAGACTTGTCTGCGATGCTTTGATCCAATCCAATAAATTTATGTCATGAAACACACACAGAAAATTAGGTCGCTCTGTATTACTGAAGTCAGGATATACCGATGTGAAGTTAGTTCTTGCTCTGTAGTTGAAAAATTTTGTAATAAAAAAGATGGACAAAAAATGTAAATGCTTTGCCTTTTCTGAGTGAGAATCTCAGAAGTTTGAAGAGTTGACCCCTATCTCTCAAACCACATCTGCCCTCCATCAGTTTTCTGGCCTGCACTGTTGATAGACATTTCCTCTCCTAGATTCAGTGGTACCTCAAGATTTCATTTCTGATCTTTCCTGGAGTAAGTATTAAATGTTTTGTTTTTAAAAAACTTTTTTCAATGATCCATTTTTCTATTATAAGGACTCATTTCTTGTTATTTTTTTATTCATTTCTTAATTATTCTCAAGATGGAAATTTCTTGGTATAACTCAACATAAAGATTCAATGTTATTTCACCTCTGATGAACTATAGTCCATTTTTATTTTACACAAGTATACCCTGGTTTGAAGAATGCACTTGTATCTACATCTCAGCTGAATACATTCCTGAGGTCATGACATGTCAATGTTCCAATCTCAAGAGTTATTCACGTTACTATTTTTGAAACTTAAATTCTGTTGTGCTGTTGAGAAGACATGCATGAAAACATACACTACTCCAACCAGTTCTACCTGTACAATTCAGTGACACTGATGATATTCTTTAAGTTATACACCCAGTCTCACACTCCTTTTCTGGGGTTCCCCCCCCCTTACCTTCCTATCGAATCTTTCAAGTTGCTGATGTCAGTGTGATCCGAGGTATTCCTTTTAAAAGTACAGTGTTCAAGGCAGGCATTTTTCCCTAGTTAAGCTTAATTACTGTTCAGTTTTAAGATGACTTCAGGGGAAATTTTTGGGCTGATATTGGACGATTACCTGAGGGCAATAGTTTCAGGGGTTCATCCACCCTCCCTGGCTCCAGAAAGTCGAGAGTCCATGAGGATTTGCAGTTGTTCTGCATGCCCCACTTTTGATGAGGACTCTTCTACGGAATCTTTGATCCAAAGGTTCAGGAATGGTAGGCGGGCATCCTCTCATTCTCCTGACCTCATGGCGAAGGATGCAGTTGCTCACGGAGGCGAGCAGCCACATATCCCAAACCTGTGTTGTTCTGAGTGGATAAGGACCAATTGTTGTGCCTGGATGGTGGTTTGCAAGCTCTTAAAAGTCCAGGAACTATGCGATGAACAGCAACACGAAGCACGGTACAGTATTCAGCCAATTATCTGGGGTGCTCCATAAAACAATGACCTTAGATCTCCAAACGAAAGAATAAAATCCCATGAGGATTTTGGTTGTATGTAGGCTACATCGTACATGGCAGCTATACTCTCTTTTGTTGGAGAAGGGCAGGTTTTTCCTTTTTACTGTCATAGAGAGTTCCAGTCACAGAAATTCACAGGAACAGTTCTACCCTGTCCTAAACGGTCACTATGAGTCAGCAGCAACTCCATAGCAGTGAGTTATTTTTGGTTTTATTATTATCCAGCAAATATAGCACAACTTTCACCAACTCAGCTTTAAGTGATTGACAGCAATTACAGTCGGCTCTGCAACCCTTCCCTTAATCAATGCAATCTCTTAATCTAGTTTACTACTAAATTATGGGTTAATATACAAGGATCAGTTAAAAAGTACTACTCCGTTTCTCCGAAAATAAGACTGTGCCTTATATTAATTTTTGCTCCCAAAGATGCGTTAGGTCTTATGTTCAGGGGATGTCTTATTTTTCCATGAAGAAGAATACGGTACACATTTACTGTTTAATTAAAAGAGACCTCGCACTTCCTGTCTGCTCCGGCTGCTGTGGCCAACAGTGAGGTGCGCGGTGGCGCCCACCGCTATGGTCCACAGTCATGGTAGCTTCATGGGGCCTTATTTTTGGAAAGGTCTTATTTTCGGGGGGATGTCTTATATTTCAGCGAGAGGCAAAACTGTAAGTAGGTCTTATTTTCAGGGGATGTCTTACTTTCAGGGAAACGGTAGCTACGAGGGTTTCCTGTTCATATACGCATGCTTACTCCAAACAAAGTATGTGTAACCAAGTCTCTGTAATCAGTGGATGGGCTGCAGACCAGTAACTTACTTACTTTTCTTATTCTCATTAGGGTGCATTAAAAAAAAATCCAATCAAAAACAGTGGCTTCTATTAGGCCAGTTAAATTCAAGGCAGAAAAGTCAGCTCAGAAGGTGAGGGGTACCGGTTTGGGGGACTTTGATAGATTGTCTCAAGGAGCACAGGATGGTCATGGGGCTTATTAGGAAGAAGATTTACGAAAACAGAAAAGTACTGGTGAGAAAAAGGCTAGAACAATTACACCAAGGAACACTGTTTCCATCACAGCAATGACACTGCTTATTCTTCGAGGGTAGTAGCAGCAAGGGCTGTCCCCTTGAGAAGCTCATTGAGAAACCTTACCTCATCCACCCTACAGTCACGATCTTGCCCCTTCAAACTTTGTGTTCCCCAAACACAAAGAACATCGAAGAGAATCGCAAGTTGAGTCACTTGAGGATGTCAAAACTGTTTTGACTTAGTGTAACTTTCAGAGAATGGCGCTCTTCAGGGAAGGACCAGAGATGGCATCACCTTCGGAATTCGGAAGCGTGTGGACCGAGCTGGAGGAGATGCTGAGAACCAGCTGCTTTGCATTCTGTTTTTAATAATGGTCTCTTCGACACTGTAGCTCACAGGGACCCTATGTGTCTATTCTAGGGTAAGTTCAACATATTGCCATGAGATCATAGAAACCACGATTGAAATGTTTCCTTGAAGCTGGGCCCACACACTTTTAACAGAGAATAAGCCAGAAATAGCTCAACGGTCATGGGTTAGCTGAGTGAAAATAGGAGCGCCTAATACTGTTTACACTCAATTCCCAATTACTGGGTACTTTAATTATTCTACACCATGGACCAGCAAACTACAATCAGCCATCTGTTTTTCTATGGCCTTTCAGTGGAGAAAAATTTACGTTATAAAATAGTTGGGGGTGAGATATAGTCAATTAATATGGCCCTCCTAGCCATAATCCATTTCATTTCCCATAAACCATTTCAGGAGGGAGCACACGAGCGAGAGCCAATGGTGCTGAGGGAAAAGTTCAAACTACACTGAAGGATGTCCAAAACTCAGTGAAAGTCGTGTGCAATGGAATCTTGAGCATCCACAGAGCTGTACTGGAACATGCTCAATCAGGCGGGAGGCTATGCCACGTCCATGCTATCAACAGTGCTGAGTAACAGCAACAAACACCACATAAGGCACAGAGCCCCAAATAGGTCTTTTCTGGCCTTTTACAGATGGTTTGCCAACCCCTGTTCTATGCCATACTTTATGTCCTTCATATTTTATAGGTTTAGCTAGGCATTTATTTCCTTTTCCCTCCGTATTTAGCATAGAAGCAAAAATTAAGCAAACTAAACCCACTGCACTGAAGTTGATTCCACTCATCAGGATCTACAGGAAAGAGCAGAATTACTCAACAGGACTTCCAAGGCTGTAAATCCGTACAGAAGCAGAGTCTTCCTCCTGCACATGGGGTAACAACCAAAACAGGGAAAAGCTAATTGCTATGGAGTCATTCCAACTCACAGCAAGCCTACAGGACAAGGTAGAACTGCCCTTGCAGCTCTTTCTGGAAGAAAACCAGTTCTTCCTTTTGTTTTTAATCGTTTTATTAGGGGCTCATACAATTCTTATCACAATCCATGCAGACATCAGTTGTGTCAAGCACATTTGTACATTCGTTGCCCTCATCATTCTCAAAACATCCCCTCTCCACCTAAGCCCCTGGCATCGGCTCATTTTCCCCCCTCCCTCATGAACCCTTGATAATTTATAAATTACTATTTTGTCATATCTTGCCCTGTCCGATGTCTCCCTTCACCCAGTTTTCTGTTGTCCATCCCACAGGGAGGAGGTAATATAGAGATCCTTATCGGTTCCCCCTTTCCACTCCATTCTCCCTCCACCCTCCCAGTATCACCACTCTCACCAAAGGTCCTGAAGGGATCATC